GAATTTTCATTGAGTCATACAAATTATTTTGAGCGGTTTTTCGACAGTTTACTCAGTTGATCAAAAGCATTATGATTAAGTACTTTGTCGTTCAGATGGAAAGTCTCGTGAAATTGTTTGGTTAAGCGTTCTAACAACAAATGTTTGATCTCCCAAGATTAGAATTGTCGAAAATCAACCCACTTCACGAGCTCACAGGAACGTTCTTCCAGATCGCTGATTTGTTCACATGCTAAACTTCATTTATAGTGCAAAAATAGGAGCCATTGAAGCCAATAAATCGGTTCCAAACTTGGTGGAAAAACAGCCCAAATACTGCTAAGTAGTTCTCAATATGACGCCATTTTTAAAACCCAAGAAAAATTTCGGGAAAACGCCATGTTTTTAGTCGACCGTCAACCGTAGTTTCTAGCCCCTTCGTCCTCCATCTTGAATCCCAAAATGCTTTACTTGACCTATGTAACCGTGCCTTTAATAAATTGTGCAATGGCGTTACACAATCTCCGAAAATTTGCAAGTAAAATGAGCGACGAATTTAGTCAATGTTGCTCGCGTTTTAAGGATGCAATCAAATTCACTCAACCGGAATTAAGATATGAGGCGAGGGAGAAAGAGAAAAGAGTGCTTTTTACTTCGGAAATTCCTTATCCTCTTTTAAGAGAATGGCATAAAATTGTTCAAGAACGAAACGTTCTGTCGCGTGACACTTCCTGTCAAGATTTGTCAAGCGGATGTGAAGAGATAGAGGCAAATTCTCCTTCTACAAGCGCAGCAGAAAACTCACCCACGGCAAAAAGGTTCAACTACATAGATTTGGTGGAAAAGTGCACATTCGGGCAATGCTTTGCCTTAAGCGATGATGAAAATATACGAGATGAAATTGATGAAGCTTTGTTAAATATTGCTTATAAAATTTCATTAGATTACAAAAAAACTAAGGGCAGGGCAAGAAAAGAGTTGGATAATCGATTCCGAAAGTTTCATGTTATGGAGGGTCAAAAAAAAACCTGTTCATGAACTCTATCAAGAAATTGAAAACATACAAAATGAGCTACAAGATTGGAAAAAGGCCTATGAAGATTAAGAGTTGGAGAAGGAAAGAATCTATGAGGAAATGGTGCTGGCAGTGAACCAAAAGGAAAATGAAACCCAAGTTTTGCAGAAAACAAACAAAGAGCTTGAAGATTATATTGCATCATTAGAAAATTCAGTGGGAGTTAGTTCATACCAGGGAAAACCTCTTTCAACTGTGAAAAATAAGTTCAGGACCTTGAAAACTTTTATTTCACGAGTCAAAGCTGCTCTCTGATTCTGCTCTTCCTTTGGTGTTGAACTACTAGGGTTAACTGTCAAAGAATCAGAAAGTGATGTGGTTCACAACATAACAAGTAAACCCAACTGTCAAGATTTAGCAACTCAAGCGGAAGGAGAAAGAAAGTATAGTACCTTGTCCACACATGAAAAAGAGAATGTTGAAAAAATCCTTTTCTTATTAGACAAATTTTGTGTGGGGGATTCATTTTAACACGAAATTTCCATGATCACTGATAGTCTACCAAGGTCCTACTTGGTCAAACAGTGCGGTGATGAACTAAACAAAATGTGCAAAATTGAACCACTAAATGCTAAGTTTGAAGGGGCCGAAGTAACTTCTGTTGAAACAGGGTTTAAAATACATATCTCTGATTTCCTGAAGCAAAACGGTGACTTTGACCCCATCACTGATAAAATCAAAATCAAAATCAATGGTGATGGTGCCAGAATGATGAGAAATTCAAATTTTATTTTACTTTCATTTTCCATTCTGCAAACAGAGGAGTCCGTAATGTCTGCAAAAGGAAACAGAACTCTTGGCATAGTCAATGGAACCGAGAGTTACCACACAATAAAAGAGTCATTCCAGAGTTTATTCAATGATGTAAATGACTTGACTGCCAAAGGTAAAATGAATGTGGATGGCCAAGAGATTAAAACTGAATTATATCTTGGTGGTGATTATAAATTTATTTTACTGATGCTTGGACTAAAGGGGGCAACATCTAATTGAAAGGCTCAGAGCAAGAACGACCCCTTGATTTTTCGGCCATTTTTTAAAGTGTTCAGAAGTAGTTGAATTTTGGCATGTGGACTTAGTTTTACTCGATATACACTGTTTTGGTTTTTTTTTCGCTGGTTTGCGCTTCGTTTTTGAGAAATAACGTATGCAAAAAACCTTGAATTTCGTAGCGGCTTTCATTGAATGAAGCCGAAACAAAAGAAGCCTTTTGTTTCATCAAAACAATACAGCCCCCGAGAACTTGCATATTCATAACCAGTTTAAAGAAAGAGTATGCTTTTTGTTTTGAGTTTAAAACACCGTTTAGCAAACGTAAAATATCCTTGTGCCTGGTGTAAAACACACAAAAATGATCGCTGAAGAATCAACAATGACTATACAAATTATAACACTCCCCCCTTAGCAAGAACACTGAAAGAAATGTTTGAAATGTCTAAAAAATCTAGAGATAATTACTGTTGTGATAAACAACCTATACTAAATATCCCACTGGATCATATAGTGGTAGGCGAGCTGCACTTAATGCTGAGAATCACAGATATTTTGATTGGAAATCTAGTGCAGGAGTGCCTTGACTGGGATAAAGATGATGACTTAGACCATAAAAAGGGGGCAGCAACAGGGTTACACCTAAAAAGCCTTATTAGGGTAATCAAATCTTGTGGTGTTTCTTTTGATGTGTGGGAACTAAGAAATGCAGATGGGAAAGGTAGCAGGAAACATGACTGGACAAGTCTCCTTGGAAAAGACAAAAAGATCCTTTTAGCTGACCTTCCCAGTAAGCTACATAGCATTCTCCACCCAGAAACAGCATCAACTGTGGTTGCAGTCTGGACAGAGTTTGCAGAAATTTACAAAGTTGTCAATGACTAGAACCCTGAGAAAGACCCCACAGAATTTTTCATGAAAGCCAAAGAGTGGATTTCTCTTTTTGTCAGTCTAAATGGCAAAAGAGAAGGGTATGAGAAAGCCAGAGTTACCCCATATATGCACATTATAGTTGCATACATTCCCAAGTTCTTTGAGCTCCACCACTCAGTCAAAATATTTACAGGGCAAGGAGTTGAAAAGAACAATGATGTAGCACGCACAATAATTCTGAGAAAGTCCAACAAGTGGGATTCTGCAGGAGATGTTCTGCGACAAGAGCAACGTCAGTGGAGCTTAAAGAACACAAGTGGGAAGTACGCAATTACATGAAGCGCAAGGAGAGCTACTGGGATGTTGAAATTAAAGAAAACCGAAAAAAGGCACGAGTAAATTTAAGTCAAGATCCTCTCCAGCAATCTATCGAAGCTCAAAATGAACATCTCCTCCCTGAGTCCACTACCACTGACACTAGCTGTTCTCATATGACAGTGAAGCAATTGAAAGAAGAATTAAAGAGAAGTGTGAGAGGATTCAGCAACAAAACCAAGGCTGAACTAATTGAACAACTGGAGGAAATTTGTCAATAAGAAAATATGGAATATTTAGTATTCTGGGAGCATGAAATGGCTTTAGTTACTCTAAGGGGGGACTCCCTTACACATTCAAAATTATATAAACAAACTACATGACAAGCACAGAGTGCAGTGAAAACACATCAACTCAACAAAATTATAATTAACTTTGTAAATAAAAGCAATTTCAAGCAAATTCATACTGTAGATTAAGCCTAAGGTTATTAGATAGGGGCCATGTATATTCTGTACATTCAACTCACTTGTTGGTCATATTCTTAGCAGCTTTTGCATTCAAGTGGAACCCCTTACAGTCCCTAAAGCCATTACAGTTAATTTCAATTTCAGTTTCTGTTTATAATATCTATGATTGAATAGTTACAGGTTGGCGACTGAAATCGATTGATAGTTTCTCAATTAACATTCTCTGATCTTCTTGAATTTTCCCATTTATAATAGAATATGTTTTTGGTGATTTTGCTAAAAACAATCTAATTTTAAATGGATATTTAACCCTTACCCCATCACCATTACAATCAATAACCCTATCCCAGTTTTCCGGTAAATCACATTTTTTAAAATCATCCTTATCTAACAAAGTATACCCCTTCTCCCTTCCCTCCCTTCCTTTACCATAAAACAAAAAACGAAAACAATCATGATCTAAGTCCAAAATAGCATTAGACCTTGATTTACTTCTTAATTTAAAGAGGACTGATAATCTCAGGTTATCAACGTTTCGAGTTAGCCTCTCTTTATCAACAATTGGCTTGTCATAAGTTCTGTAAGAAAAATAATGAAAATGGAAACATTGTAAGAGGAGTTGTCTATGAACAAGTAATACTGAAAGCAATGCAAAGGCAGAAGAAAAAGAAAAGCAGCAATCACTGCGTGTATTATTGGTGAAAAAAAATTAGTTAAGTATAAACCTTTCTATGTATGAGCTTATACGAGTGCATCTCTCTTGTTAATTCCGTATTTCAGCATGTTCAATTGTAATGGTAATTTAAGTACAGTTTGAAAAAATGATACAACAATAAATACCTAATAAGATCAGTAGTTAAGTTCTCTTCATCTTCCCAACTATTATGAAACGCGCTGTACCCTTCCCATTTCACCAAATATTGAACCTGAAGATTTTAATTATAAAACTTTAGCATGTAAGAAAATTAATGACATACATCGTAGACCAGGGCAAATTGTGAACTCACCGTTCCATATGATGTCCTCCTCGAGATTCACCTTTCCACGGCAAAATAATCAGAAGAAACATTAGCTTTCCTTTTTCTACAATTTTTTTCATCCCAAAGAAGGTCTGCAGAAGAAACATTGTGTAATTGAAGAAATAAACCGCGGCTATCCTTGCTCGAATCCCTTACGCCGCTCGCCATAATTTGCTGTATGTAATCTGATGCAAGAACGCATGCGTAGTAGGAATTTTTTGGATACACGAGCCCCCGTTTCAAACCGCTGACTGTCACAGATTTCTGGCCATGACATGTTTGTGATCGTTATAAGACGCCTCTGAGATTATATGCTCCCTCTTGACACGTTCGTAGACGAAAGAAACTCGAGTAATGGCTTCCAATACGAACGAACCAAATACCAAGAGGCAGCGTTTGGATCAAGAACAGTTAGAAGATGGTCGGTCACGTTTTACCACCATCACGCTCGACATGAAGCGATATAGCACGTGGGTTCGTACGCTTTCAGAAGATGGACTTGTCAGCATATTTGAGCTGGGAGTCAAAGTTAGAGAGTCAGTTACCTTAACCATAAACGTTAACCAAGCGTTCCTAGAGGAGGCTCTGACCTCTCAGATGAAACCGATCCAAGATAGCGTCTCCAACATCGAGACGGAGGTAACGAGGCAGGTAAAAACTGTGCAAGAGAACGTCAGCCGAGAGGTGAAAACACTCACAGAAGATTTGAAAGAAAATATCCAGAATGCCCTCGATCCTAAGATTAAAGAAATTGGCGACGCGATGACTGATATCAAGGAGCAAGTGGATAAACAGGTTACCAGGGTCCAACAAGAAGTCAACAACAGTGTTTCCGAGCGTGTGACAAAATTGCACACGAGCGTTGTGGAAATTGAACAACAAGTCACGACTAAAGTTGAGGAGATTAAGAGGAGGGTCATTCAAGATGTCGGTAAGGAAATCGAGGGCATGAATAAGAACGTACAAGTTTTAAAAGGAGACGTGTCTAAGCATTTAACTGGTATCAACGATTCCCTGACCGAAAGAGTTGATACCGTTGCTGAGAGGGTGCCGCCACTTAGCAGTTTGAACACCACCATAACCCAGTCAGCGGAAAACATTAAGACCCAGATTAACAGCACGCTTAAGGAGATCAATAGCTCTGAGTCACGCGTATGTAACGAGTTCAAAGGGATGAAGAGTGAAGTCTACAGCGAAATAAAAATATGCAAAGAAAAAATAGATGAGATCTCCAAGAATTTGATGAAACCTGGGGTCAAAGGAGTTGTGGGGGAAATGACTGTGCTAAAAATTCTAAAACACCGCTTTCCCAGTTGGTCGGTGGAAGACGTCGCTTCAACTGGCTGGAAGATGTGCGATATTGTCGCAACAACACCATTAGACGACAAAATAATGATCGAGGTTAAGAATCAAACGACATCAGTTCCCTCTAACGAATGCAACAAGTTTGAAGAAAACCTGACGGCATCTCCTGACTATAAAGTCGGAATCCTGTTATCTTTAAAGAGTGGAATTTCTAATCATTCATCAGCCAGAGATTTTGAAGTAAAATTCCTGCAAACTAAAAATCAGTACCGGATCTACGTGCCAAATGCAATGCAAGAACCCGATGGAAATAGAGTGGTATGGAGCGTGCTCATGGCTGAGCAATTGGCACAAATACGAATGGAGTTAACAGGCGGTCAAGTAAAGGGGCTTGAGGAAATCTGCGATCGGTTCAAAAAGGACGTGGAGCAAGGAAAAGTTTGTGAAGAAAGTCTTAAGAGTTTGGAGAAGGCGATGAAGAAGTTAAAAGAAGACATGTCTCCGTTTTTCGAAATCGTGAGGAAGACAAAAGAAAGTTTACACAAACTCTTGCATCCTGTTTCATAGTCAGTTACTAACACTTACTCAGGTAGGGCAACTTGTCACAAGCTCGATGCTTTGATGTAACAGCGCGAACAATCACTGTAGAACTTGACTTTCTTTTAAAGTACCTCACGCCTTGGTACTTAGCTTAACCTTTTATGTAGCATGTGACGGCATGTGTAGTTTGTCGCGTGTACGAAACTGCATTATGATATTCCTTTCATACAGTCTTTTTGTACTCGAGAGCTAAAACTAGACAAGCGATTTATACTTAATGTAATTCATCAACAATTCAACTCTATTTTTGGTATCTTTGTATCTGGTTGATCCGAACATCTACTTTCCATTTGGAAAAATATGATCGGTACCAAAGCTGAGTGAGAGGCAGATTGTTTTGACCAGTTTAGCTGCACGTAGTCGACACAAACTTTAATCAAATATCACTTTGCTGGAACAGAGTATCTATATCGCGGAAACGATACTGTCTTAAGCGCTTTACAAATCAAGTTTTACTATAAGTTAATAATAGAACAGGAACTTCAACGAGCCTGCGGGTTACCAGCCGATGTATAATATTAACAGATTATATAAAATGTTTTAAGGATCAATATCAGTATCTGGGCACCTGCCCACCTACCCTCCCCTAACCCAACAACAGTCTATTTTTAGTTTTTTCTAATGTTGTCAGTCTAATTGAGTGTGTTTTAATGCATTGTATTCTACAATAGAGGTGCGGTAATTGTGTCCACACTCGATAAACACAAACATGTCTACAGTTCAGTTATTTACGCGGCCAATGGTTGTTTAGTTCACCAGTATTTGCCAACAGTTGTCTGCAGTTGTCGCTAATTAATAGAGTTCAGAGTTGCTAAAAAAGACAACTACCGAGGTTTTGGTAACTTCTGTTAACGTGGGTCGTTCGTTCCGCTGCATTAACCCCTACGAGTCCTCCATGTCCTCACAGATATACTTTTTGGCAGACCTGGACATCAATCCCACCCATTACCTTCTTCAACATGTCTATTCAGGCGATTACCTGTTTGTTTCGGGGATAAATCACTAAGGGGTTTGAATGCTATCGGTAGCCCTCTTTCAATTTTAAAAATTGCTTTTACAATCGTCAGCCTGTATCACACTACATGTCAACATAATTAATTATCGGTATTAGCGAAAGCAACTGCTTTCGGCATTATGAGAACTCATGGTATTCGTATCGTTTCATTCTGGATGCTACGCAATTTCAAGGTTTGGGCGCCATCATTGTTTGGCCGACTACTCGCCTCGATTTCATGCGTTGAATGCCGCTGGGTAATGTAAGTGAAGCTATCCACTCCCATGCTTGATCGAACGCACTGTACTTATTCTTGATTTCTACAAGCACACAACTAAACTGAGATCGAAACAGAGGTTGTTTGGGTCGAAGCATCAGTAAATGTTTCTCAGTTTCGTTTTGTTTGAATTCTGTCCACCGAACTAGTCACACGAAATAAGGGATTTAAGGATACTGTAGACCTTCACAGACCAAATTTTGCCATTTTTTCACCTCAAACAAAGTATTACTATTTTAACAACAGTTTCCAAAAAACATTGTTGTAAAATATCGAGACGCACTCGAGTTATTTACAAAAACATTTTTCCGAACTGAATTCTTCGGGTGTGAAGGGAAGTAAAGTTAAGTGTGAAAAGCCAATTATGATGTGTCAACACAACTGAGTTCTGTGATGTTTTCCCCGTAGAACACATCTGTGGAAGTATCAATCGTATAAACATCTTCCCATTTCAGTTACACGTGTTCATCACAGTAGTTCGTGAAATTATGGGTAGAGACAAAAAGGGAGAGCATTTTTGGGTTGAAGCTAGAAAGAAGCCTAGCCGTAAGAGCCAGACATTGAAGAATTTCGATGAAGAATGGAGGGAAAATCTCGCCGTAACGGACATGGACTCCTGGTATGAGCAATCTTCGCTACTCACCCTCGAGCAACCATCGACAAAAGTTCTGCTGCTCGGCTTTAGTGAGAGTTGAACTTTCCATTCCCTTGAATTTCTTCTTCTTGCGGGCATTCCGAATTGAACGAAGCTCTGTCACACACAGCTGCAGGATAGTTTCCCACGAATCACGGTTTTGTCGAAAGTCTCCTGGGACTCTGCTTCTGTGTTTTTATTGGCGGTTTATGATCAACCAGAGGCCTGATGTGTTAACAAAACTTTGGAAGCAAAAAAAAACCACTCGCTTTTTCCGCGAGTGTGTCTTCTTTAGACGAATCAATGAAACCTTTCCGGATTGACTTGAAATTTGGTCCGGAGGCTTCCTATGATACCAATTTAAAACAGCGTGTGGGGCTTTTCCGTTTTTCGAAATTAATCTCCCGCAATACTATCCGACGTAACGTGTATTGGTAAAATTTTGATAATTAAACTTAAAAGAAAGATTGCAAGGCAGCCAATAGGAATATCAAAAAAGCAACACACAGATTTGAAGACCAAGCCCTTAAGATTGACACTGAGCAGAAGTTTTATTTGTGCGGTTCGATTTGATACCCGATTAATTCGCTCAACGAACCATCGTCCGTTTCGCATCGTGGCGCTTGAGTCATTTTATGATTAGATCAAGTTAAAACGAAATAGGGTAATAAATTATGATCAACCAAGTTGATAACGTAAATTGGCTAAAAAGTTTAAAAGCTGACATTTCGAGCGTTTCCCTTCGTAAGAGCGATTGGAGGAATTATGGGTTGTTTGTGGGGAGTATATGCAGAAAATGGAGCTACGTTATCGGTGGGAATATGGTGACGAGAAAACAAGAATAAATTAGTTGAATGAAAAGCGCGAGTTGATACCGTGGGAGTTAAGAGTGCCGATTTGAAAAATAAATTCTTGTTCTAGAGTTTTGCGGCTTTCCGAACTGCCTTGATGTAGGGAAAGGCCGCAATGTGCTATATGCTGCTTAGAATGATTAGGGAGATTAAAGTGTTTAGCGACTGCTTTGGATGCGTCCTTGACATTTCTTTCTACGTCGCGAAGGTGTTCTCGGAATCGTTCACCTAGTCGTCTTCCCGTTTCACCAAAGTATAACTTTTCGCAATAAGAGCAAGTTATGCAGTAGACGACACTGGCGGAGGTGCACGTGAAGTGATCGCAGTAAAACGAAATAGGTTTCTCTGGATAGTGCATTTCATAACCATTCCATATATATATATATATATGTATTTTTTTCATGGAAATATTACGGTGGTTACGCTTTAAATAGCACAGTAATAATTTTATTAGCGAAGGACACCCGTGAAGGTCTACCTGATCCTTAAAATAACAAAGATCATATAAGATATCCTACCTATCGTATAGTAAGCAAAAGTCTTATGCACTGACTCTTAGCTCGTGATAGTAACGTGACAGTGTTTCATCACTATTGAACCTTTCCCAAGGCATCTGAGAAAGTTTCGAAACCTTTCATTTCATAGTTTAGGAGTGAACTGAGACAAATAATGCCTGATTTTGTTTTCAGGTGTTTTAAGCCGTTTAATACAAGATTAAGCTGGCTACAAGGGAAAATCGCACTTAATGTAGCATGGTTACTAAATTAAGTTTTATTTTCAAGTGTTTAAAGCCATTTTACATTATCAAGTCAGTTGATAAACCAAATTATGTTATTATACTCCACCGCCGATGCAGCAGCAGTTTCTTCAGAGAGTTGCCCCCCTTTGGTAGGGTCAGTCCAATTTAGTGTAGTTCATTTGGTTGTCCATCGGGGTCGTCCATGAACTGGGAATTAGTGTTTTGTCCATCATTGTTACCAAATAAATTTTACTTTTCACCTGCTTCCTCACTTGCTAACTACTCCTGAGCACTTTATAGTTATCCTTGATTGCTACTAACATGCACGTAAATCAGAATGAAACGGAGGGTACTGGGGTCGAAGCATCAGTAGATGTATCTCAGTTTTGTTTTGTTTGAATTCTGTCCACTGAGCTAGCCACACGAAATGAAGGATTTAAAAGAACAAAGATCACAAAGGATATCAAACATATCGTATTAGTTACAAAGATCTTTCAGTCATACTGGTATCGAGACTGATAGCTCGTGATAATAGCGCAATAATGATTTCGTCACGATTGAACTTTTCTAAAGGCATGTGTGAAAGCTTTGAAAGCTCTTTTTTTTTAAAAAGATTCGGAGTGAACTGAATCAATGATGCCTAGTTTTGTTTTCAAGTGTTTAAAGCTGTTTTACAGAATCAAGTCAGTTGATAAAACCAAATCATCTTGTTATTACTCCTCTACCGATGCAGTAGCACAGTTTCTTTGGAAAGTTACCTCGTTTTTTTTCATTATTGGGGTCGAAACATCAGTAGATGTTTATCAGTCGTTTGCATTCCACCTACAGAACTAGTCACTCGCAATAACGGATTTAAAAGAACAAAGATCACACAGGATATCAATTATGACGTATAGGTACCAAAGATCGTATGCTCTGACTAGTAGCAAGTTATAATAACGTGACAATGTTTTTGTCACTATTGAACCTTTCTAACGGCATGTTATAAAGTTTCGAAACCTTTCATTTCATAGTTTCGGAGTGAACTGAGTCAAATAATGCCTGATTTTGTTTTCAAGTGTTCTAAGCCGTTTTATACAAGATTAAGCTGGCTACAAGGGAAAATCGCTTTTAATGTAGCATGGTTACTAAATTAAGTTTACCGCTCACTTGCTTTCAGTTTTTTTAGTCAGACGCTTGCCTGGTGCCTGACTTAGAAACTACGCCAATATTGAAACTCAAAATGCAAATTTGACCGAGGCATTTAAAACTCCACAGACTGGTATTTACAGCAAGTTGAAAATGGAAAAAAATCGAGTGAGGAAAATCAAATCAGATCTTGGCCGTAACTGCCCAATTGGTCTCAGAGCAGTCCGAAAAATTCGCTGTCATGAATAGGATGAATCAGTGATGTATATGTATCTATGATGTCTAGTAGATAATAAAGTGAAGATATCCTGGGGATACAGGGGAATAACATTCAATAATTATCTGAATTGTCAAGAAGAACAAGGGGGATTGTTTTGGGAATTACATTTATTCTTGAGCTGGGCAA